AAATGTGAAAGCTTTAACACTGGTAGACTTCAACTCCCAGAATTCCTCCTCTTGCTCTTCATCTTGATGATGTGTGGAAGGGCGGGGGGAGGGAGCTGGAACCGGTTCTAAACAGCACTGTAGATTTGTGGAATCTCTTCCGTAGAAGAGGTTAGAACTGGCAGGAACCCACCCTGTTGCAATGTTAGCATCTGTTTATTTAAATTTTTATATTAACTCTGTAGTGGTTAAGGTGCTGGCCTAGAAATCAGGAGACTGTGTGTTCTAGTTCCACCTTAGGATAAAAGCCACCTCAGGGACTTTTGACCCAATCACTCTCTTTCAGGCCAACCCACCTGAAAAGGATTGTTGTGGGGGGAAAAAATAGGGGGAGGAAGGAATATTAGTTATGTTCTCCACCCTGACTTATTTACAAAGTAACAAAGGTGGGAGAAAAAACTAATTAATAAACTTTTGCAATGGGGAGTTCTTTTTAATACTTTTTGTTATGACACATAGTTATTGTTACAACTCCTGGCAAGAGTTTGAGTTTGGAAATTAATCAATCAATCCATACTTACAATTGATCTGATGAGGTTCTCTTTTGCCAGTTTCAAGGAGGTTTTATAGCAATTTGCCAGATCTTCTTTATGGATATCACTAATATGCCCTCGAGCTATAGGTCCCACAGTGTGGATGACATCTGAAAAGAATAACACAATCAGTATCAAAATTTGATTAAAACTGTACAAAATGTCAAAGGCAAATTGGTAAATCAGGACTCTGATCATGAGGATTTTTCCTGATTAATGACAATGTCCCTGGCCCTGTGAGTTGGATGAAGTAAGGAAATAAACTCTTCCAAGTCCTCTACTGGGACTACCTTCTAAACCAGGGGTGTCAAACTCACATCATCACGGCTTCATCACATGACTTCCTCTCCTTCACTAAACCTGGTGGGGGCGGCGCAAGCATATGACACAACGGGGCCACGGGCCACAAGTTTCACACCACTGTCTAAAGCAGTGATTACTTTACATTGAGAAAGAATCCTTTTCTCTTGGAGAACCAGGAAGTAATTGTTGTCTGGTTCATCTACAAAGACAAAGGAAGGCCCTTAGCATTTAGAAGAAGAATGCTTCTGATTGGAGAAAAGACCCCCCTCCGCCCAAAAAAAGAGAAACAGGCAAGGAAAAGTGAAGAGTCTAGAGGAAGAAAACTGGGGATCAGGATGCAATCAACACAGTCACTATTAATTGAGTCAAACCTTCTTACTAGTGATTCTGGCAGTGCACAACCACACTAGCTAAGTTTAAAAAAAAAAAAAAAAAACTATTGTGGGAACACAATCCTCATCCTCCTCTCCAGAGTATCAGATGACAGTGTTAAACTATCCCATCAACTTTTGTACCTGAAAAGTATTGGCAAAGCTTTGTGACATCACATTCTGGTATGTTAATTGCAACCAATCAATGCTTAAGGGCTATGTCCTGTGCTGTTAGGCCACAGCAATGAATTTTGTAAGAAAAAGGCTTATTTTTTCAGCTGTTTTTATTCTCCACTCCCTTTGACGGAGTCTGCATGCTGTGGGAAACAGGATCCATCAATTGCATTTGGCCAGGTTCTCTCAAACATGCCAAGCTCTCCCAAGGATGCTGAAACAGCATTTCAATTCTGCCATTTTCTTTGTAGATTAGCAAACACAAAGATTTAAATAACTGTCAAAGGAAAATATCTACCAGGGAATTTGTTTTGTCAGTAAACTCCATGGACCTGGTAAAATCAAACATGAAAGGATTTACACAGCCAAACATTCTGACAGCTGTAAACATCATACTGAGAAGCACATAAAAAGGAAATAATCAACCTTCTCTTTTAATCATAGTTATTTCCTCTAGATATAAGGTAGAAGGGGTGAACTATTTGGCTGGAGAATTACACCTAGAGTAATTAGGAGCAAAGCTATTTAATACTATTTCCAATCACTGAAATTTGAATTTGACACTTAGGGTTTGCCAGATGACAAGAAGAATGACAACACATGATTGAAATATAGTTTTAATGCTGGTTTTACCCCTTTGAGCTGACTCACACATATGCATTTTAGGCAGTCCAATAATAAATGGAGATTTATTGCCAATGGAACAAATTCAAAAATGAATGGAGAGAAGTCTCCGTTTCCGCATGTCATTACTTTTCATTATCATGTTTACTGTATTTGAAGGTAACATCAGACACAGTGGGCTGTGTAAGGCAACACATCTGTGTGTGCGAGGTTTGAGTCCTGGGTTGTTGTTTTTAAAAATGCAAATATTTTTATAGCTGAAGCCGACACAGTGCCTTAATCAGATAAAGTTCATTTCATTTATTCTGCCAACTCCTGAAATGCCATAAAATGTGGTCACAGTAGGACTTCCTCTTCAGCTATAAATACTTATTGCCACAAAATGCTGCAGAAGCAGCAATCAGATTTGACATTTGATTGCCAAACCGAGGCCAGCAGTATTACTACATCAGTCATAATTAACAATGTCCAAATCTAAAAAGGAAGTATCAGAGAAAAAAAAAACCCAAGCCTACTAATTATTAAACATCTGTTTTGGCTATAAGAAACATGATGCTTTGGGAGGCCACTTCTTTGTGATTTTGATAAATGTTTTGCAAATTAGAGTTAAATGATCAGCTGGGTATATATTGCTGCAATTTTGATGCTGCATTTTCCTAATAGATAAGTGATTTTTAAAACCCTGTTATTTCACAGAGCATTTCCTCTAGTTAAAAGACTCTTACCCTTCATGCAGGGAACATTAAAAGTTTTAACTAGAATTTCTGCTTGCCACATACCTTCAGAGACAAATATGACTTGTGGAGCAATTTGATTACTATAAAATGTTAGTTTCCCTAAAATGGTGCGGTTGGCATTTAAATACAAGGCAGCACTATCCATTTTTTTGCTCTAATGGAATAAATATTGACATAAAAGACTGGCAGAAATGCAGCATCTAGAATGCTTTAGAAACTTTGAGACTCTAGTGTAAAAAAGACAGGCGTTTTCAAAATAAATCCATCCATTTATGAAAGAGGAGGAAACACATCAAAAATTGTGGGCCTGGTTTAGATTACTACTTTGACAAACAGACTAAAGATGGGCTAGAGACACAACTCTTTCAAAGCAGCAGTCAATTAGGATATGAATCCTCTCCCTTCCTGCTCCCAACCCAAAAGCTGGGAGCCATACGGGAAACATATGCTACCAAGACTGTTCCAAAATCTTTCAAAGAATGCTAACATACAGAGTGATATAAAATGGCTGTGAGTGCTTATGTTTTAGCAATAAAAGAGACAATGTTCTAACATTTGTGTAAAATAAGCAGACTGATTTTTAAGATTGAAAACAAATATAACACTAAAGGAAGGCAAGAGAAGGGGAAGGCGGAAAGGAAGAGAAAAGAATGAGAAAGCAAACAACTTTAGAGAACTACAGTAAGTCTGTTCTCAATAATGCTTTTGATAACTAAGCAAAACATCGGAGTAAAGTTTAAAATAAAATCTAATTTATGTAAAACTACAAACATGGATGAAGAAAGAAAAGCCTCAAGCCTCAAATTCCAAACTCTCAGTCAACTTTAGAACAATTTCTAAAACTTTCCTTTCAACAAAAAGAGAAAAGTAAAATATGCAGCACAAAAGCTGTTCTGAGTATGCTAGAGGTCACTTTAGAGAAGATAAAATGCCACTAATGACTCTCAGTGTTGGCTCTGAGGTACAGTCTGGGACTATAAAGGACACTCATCCAAATTGACTTATGGAAAACAGAAGGCATGAACAGAAAGCAAATATTTAAGTTAATATATTTATGTACTACTCTCTAGCCTTCTTCCACAGTGAGGGTTTAAGATCCATGAGGCATCTGAACTCAAGTCAATTAGCACTGAATTCAACTGCGAATCATACTAGCTATCCATAGTTAAAACAGATTCAAATGACAATTCCATATTTGGGGAGGGGGGGAGGAGAAGTCTGGCTGTGTTGTTTTAAGATAATTTTTATTCCTACAGCAAAGGAAGAAAAGTGGCACATATTATGTGAGGCACATTTCTATTGGCTCTAAGAGTAGCATAAGTAATCTACTACCCATAATAGTTATCCTGGTATACAGGTATACGTAAATTCTTACCCATAAAAGTAGCATGTAAAATTCAACTTACAAATTCTATAGAACAACTCTATTTGTAATCATGAAAGAATAATTAAAAACAAAAACAAAATGTGTGGCAATTTAAAAAAAATGCCCAGGCATGTATTCTTCAAAGTGAAATTAAATAATTACATTTCCAAGTAAAGTATAAAGTGGTTTCACTTTATAGAAAACAGTATAATTAATGGAATCATTATCCCTGTACACAGGAGAGGGATCACATATTCATCAGACATGAGACATGTTTGCTATTTTCATTCATGTCCCCTGCAACCATGTACTACCTTTTGTGATAACCCATGAGGAACACAGTGCACAAAAGGAATGTAAACAGTCTCTTGAATGTTCTCAGGATAACCTGAAAGGAGTTGGGGGAGTAAACTTCTATTTAACTAGGAATATTACATACAAGTTCTATAAACTCATTACCATGGATAAAAATTGTATACATAGAAAAGGAGTTACCAGGTTCACATAGGTTTGAAAAAGTTCAATAAAGATCTTCAGTGGGAACCAAGATATAAAATAGGGTTCAGATGTGGTAATGGATTGAACATAGTAGTCACATAACATTATGTGTGCTTTTGGGTAGGAGGAGAGTGACAACTTGAAAGTAAACAAACATAGAGCTACCACTATCATTATCCCTAAAAATGCAGGGGAAGATATTGGCTCTTTGTTGATGTTGATGAAAGATTGACTAAAGGTTTTTTGGCCAATTTCTGTATAAAGAATTGGAACAACCATCATCTAACATCTTGTCTTGTTGGTCTGTTCCTTTGTTTTAGGAAATACAGTGTCTGGATTCAGCCTTAGGGAAAAGTACATCTGTCTGAAATTTTGAAAAGAAACACTCTATAACGTATGTGCAATTCCTCCCGGCTCATCCAATTCTGATATTTGCTTTTTCAAGAATATCTCACCAGGTACTGAAATGACAGTGATTTAAAAGAAAAGCCTGTATTAATATGATCTTAAAATAATTCTAAAAAAGGTAAGACAATATTAGTCTTGCAAGGTAACCCAGACAAGAAGCTCAAACAGGAGTCCTATAGCCAACTTTATTGTAAGTTGCAAGCCTGAAAGTATCTCATCCCATCTCTCACTTTTACTTTCCTGAAAACTAGATATGGCCCCTTCTGAGAGGTTTTGGCCACTCCTCCATCTTTGATCTCAAATTGCTTTTATCAGACCATTATCTAGGCAGTGGCTCTTCCTCCTGTGCCCCAGTCATTCCAACACACTATTACAATAAATTCTTAAGTTTGGGTTATTGAATATATAAGCCTAAGTGAAATCAGCTAAGATTTCCCCATTTTTGACACCCTTGTCCCTCAAAGCTTACACTACTATATATGCGCGGCATGACAAAACCGCGCTGGTCAAAAGCGCGGCGATAAAATTGCGGTGCTAAAGCCGTGACGTCATCACCGTGCATCATCACCGCCATGACAACAGCACGGCAACAGAAGGGCGCTTTAAAACGGCGCCGCGGCAGAAAGCCG